TGGTGGAACCTCTTCTAACCGGTTCGGTAGATTTGACGAACCGGTTCTACTGAATAGGTGCTAACTGGCAGGAACCCACCTCTGCAGTGGATGGAAACTAAGCAAGGAGATAACCAACCTAGAACTAAGGAGATATTTTCTGACAGTTAAAACAATTAACCAGTGGAAAAGCTTGCCTTCAGACATTGTGGGTGCTCCATTACTGAACTAGAAGTCTTCCAAGATCCCTTCCAGGAAGGACTCACTGGAGAAGAGCCTAATGCTGGGAAAGATTGAGGGCAAAAGAAGAAAGGGACAGCAGAGAATGAGGTGGCTGGATGGAGTCACCGAAACCAGAAGCGGTATTCAGCAGGTTCTGGCCAGTTCTGGAGAACCGGTAGTGGAAATTTTGAGTAGTTTGGAGAACTGGTAAATATCACCTCTGGCTGGCCTCGCCCCCATCTATTCCCTGCCTCCTTTGTCTCAGCTGATCAGGAGGAAATTGGGATTGTGCAGTAACCTTCCCCTGGAGTGGGGAGGGAATGGAGTTTTTACAGTATCCTTCCCCAGCCACACCAAACTACACCATGCCCACCAAGCCACGCCCACAGGACTGGTAGTTAAAAGTTTTGAATCCCACCACTGACCAAAGCAGTAGGGGTGAGCTTAAATGGACTCCAGAGGATGGTAGAGGGCAGGAAGGCCTGGAGGAACAACGTCCATGGGGTTGCGGTGGGTCGCGATGGACGTGACTTTGCAACTAACAACAATTCTGTTATTCTCTTCATAGCAGTATTCCAATGTATTTAACCAAAGCAAGACCTTAATACAAAGAAAGTTAATAAAAGTCAGCTGCAGGTAAGGGGGAAGAAAAGTACAATTTGGACCAAGCTTTGTTTTAATTAGATTTTTGGTTTTGACAGCTGTGCCAATACTTTTAATTTGTGAAGTTGTAGAAAGAACAGCCAGAGAGGGTAATCTCCAATGCAACACCACTCGGCAATCTAATCAATTGCCATGAGTCAGGAAGCAGCTGCATCAGTATTCGGCTTTAAATTATGTTTCAGAATAATCAGACTCACGAAAGATATACCGTTATCTGCTAAATGTGCGAAGAGCATTCAGATGAGATGCTTCATAAAGCATGAATTTCACCTTTACAAGCAAATATTCTGCTTTTATCCATATTCCCCCATCCACCCAAAGGTCCTCTAGAAAGTCCATTAGAAGTTTCCTTTGATTTTCTGATTTGTTTCACTTCACCATCAAAGTCTGATACTTTTTCATGTGTGGGAATCCCACACACAGCACACACACTGCCAGTTCGGGACGCAATTTTTTTTCCCCATGTAAATGTGTTTTATTTTCCATTTTCATTTTCGTACAGTCACACATATACTGTACAGAACC